TCTTGGCAGCCTGCTTGTCTGGAATTTTGGCTTCTCCTTCAAGGCTAAGGCTAGCCTCAGGTGCCTGAAGGTCAACGCTGGCCTGTGGAAGGCTGACATCGACGGAGGGCAGGCTGATGTCCACTTTGGGAGCTGTAATATGAGATGGTGTAATTTCTGTTATGTCATGTTTGGATTTTATGGTGAATTCTCTCTTTTCTATTTCATTTTCCAGTTTTGAAATCCATGTGTTTTCTTCTGTGCCTTCAGCATTCATTTTCATTTGGGAGCATTTTATTTTTGTTTTTTTCGGACTAGGCATCTGTTGTGTTGTCTTTTGTTTTATGCCTTTTTCATCCTCTTTTCCTATAGATATTCCTGTTTCTATCTGTGCTCGTGGTACCATGATTTCTCCTGTTGTTCCACTTATCTGAAGTCCTTCTGCATTTTCTTGGGTTTCCAGTTTTATTTCTCTTTCATTTATCTGTGCTTCAGTTATGGCTGTTTCTTCCTTATTAGTCGACCAGGTAAATGTAGGGAATTTTAACTTCGGTAGTCTGAATTTGCTTTCTTTCCCCTCTGTATCTTTTTCTCCTGTCTTCATCCCAATTTCTATGTTTAAGGCTTTGTCATTTGTGGGCATGCCATCTTCCTCTATCCCTTCCTTTTTTACCCTTTCTTCTGTGTCCTCTTTTCTTTCATCTCTTGATATTTTCATGTCAGTTTTTGGTGCTTTGGCCTCTTTGAATGATGGAATTTGTATTTTCCAAGTAGACACTTCTGATTCTCCATCCAGCATAAGAGTTTTCACATTGAATTTCATGCTGTCCTGTGAAGTCATATCAGCCGTTTTTTCTGGTTCTGACTGTGGAACGTCGCTTCCCTGTTTGGTGGTGTCAGTCTCTGTCTCTTTTCTTTTGGGCATTGAAATTCCATAGTTTATTTTCTGAATATTTAGGATTTGTTTGTCTTCTTCTGTTTGTTTGTCTCCTCTTTTCAGTGTGTCAGATGTCTGTAATTCAGCTTTAGCAGTGCCTATTTCTAGGCCTTTTACCTGCACAGGTTCTTTAGCTGTGTGACCCATCAAGTCTATGTTAATTCCACTTTCTCTGTCTTTTTTATCTGCTGCTCCTTTCTGTTTCTTTTTTCGGGATTTTGATGAGGCTTGTGGTGATTTTTTAGTTGGGCTTACTTTCAGATCAGCTGTTTCTAAACTGGGCTTTGGTATCTCTATTGTTATGTCTGGTACTTCAGGTACACTGAATTCTGATGTTGCTTCCTTGTCTTTTTCTTTTTTAATGCTTATTTCAACTTCAGGGCATTGTTTTACATGAGATGGAATGCCATTTTTCATCTCTTTTAAGTCTTTTGTTAAAGTTTCATGTCCCTCACCTGTTTTCATTTCATAAGCAGGAGATGTGGTATATTCAACTGTTAGGATTTCAGGATTTTCCAGGCTTATATCATCTTTATGCATTTTTTCTCTTTCAGTGATCAGTGTAGTTTTTATTTCTTTTTTTTGCTTCTCTTGTGGTTCTGCTTTGGACCTGTGCATTCTGAATCCAATGCTAGGGAACTTCAGCTTCCTTTGGCTTCCTTTTTTCTCTTTGGTATGGACCTCTTGTGGATATTGAGACTCCGTGTCCGTGCTTGTAGGGGAAATATCCTGTATAGCAGGCTCATATGCATCTGATGTACTATGAGATCTTCTGTGCCTCAGTATCTTTTTATTTTTGATTGATTGAAATTTCGGCCATGATAATCTATCTTTTTTAGGTCTCTTACTTCTTCCTATCCTTTGGCTTACAATTAATGTTTCCCTGTCTTCTTCTGAAATGGCTTTTCCTGAAGCATGCAGTGCTTCTTCAGGAATGCTGTCACTGAGCTCTTTTTCCTAAAAGAACAAAGAGTAGTCAGAAGATTAGAAATAACCTGAATATAGGTGCAACAGAAAATAGAATACATAAGATAAAATATGTAAAGAATGTTCTTTTTATTACCAGTATCTACTTGTTATATGAAAAAATTACTGAAGATTATTAAAATAGCAATGTCAGGCAGAAATTACATAAAACAAATGGACTGTAATATATGGATTTCTGAAGATTTTCATTCCTTGCAAAACATTAAACAGAAGTTCCTATATGTATCTATGCATATATGTCTGTACAAATATATAGTATTTATGTATATGAAGATAACATAATCTTTAATTTGATGGAAACCTATGAAGAGATCATATATCTATCAAAATATCAGAAAATCTTACAGAGGAGCTTTGGATAAAAATATTTACTGATATTTTACATTTTTGAACATACTGAATATAGGTATTACAGAGATTACCCAAGTCTCTTCCATCAGTGGACAACAAACAATTAAAAAATGCTGACTCACTAAAGAATATTTTTACACCCTAAAACAATATTATGGATTTATGTAAAAGCTATAGTCTTACTCAAGGTATTTTAAAAGCTGCAAATATTGTGTGTTATTTAAAAAAAATCATGAATATTCATGATAGTAACTTTAAACATATGCCTAAGTCTTAAGAAGACACAAGTGTGTTTTCTGATCTATTTCCACACAGCACATTACTATACTACGTTACCCAAACTTCTTAAACTAATCCAACATCTACCTGGCCTATCCTTTCCTTTTTGTGCTGGGCTGTAGAGTGTTCTGGATCTTCTTGCACAGCAATTTTTCTTTTGAGGCTGAACTGGACTCTGTATGGCTCGGAATACTGGAGAATCTTCAGTGCATCTTCATATTTGATATTATCAAAAAATATTGTAGCACTTAGAAGCTGATCACCTGCAAGTGGAATAATACATAATTTTACTTTGTGTTTTCTGATAGTTTTTCCAGTTTTTTTTTCATTTGAGTTTTGTATATACTACCTTCTATGTGGCTTTTTCACTGCTACAGTGAAAACTGATTTTTTTATGGTATATAAAAAAAATCGCATTTCATTATTGTTCAAGCAAGTGGTCTTAGAAATTATTAATATGGACAGGTTAAGCTCACAGATAACATTAGTTGGTTTGAAATCTACTATTTCTGATACTTAAAGAGATGGCAGATCACACAGCTACAAATCTCATTATTTAAATATATAGAATAAAATATTTAAAAAAATTAGACCGTACCTTCTCTAAGACTAAATATTTTTGAAGCAGGAGATTCCTTAAGTACTCTTTTAATAAATATTCCTTCATTTCCTCCACCTTTCACACTAAAACCACTAGCACCAGCTTCCACTTCTGTTTTCAGGGTCACTTCCATTGTCTCCTAGAGAGAGAAAAAGATATGAATTTATCATTTTTCTTCATTTGTATTAAAGGGTTCTAAGTTGTTCTGCAAGAAAAACTTCAGTCTCCTCAGGTATATTTTCAATAGCTCAAGAGAAATTATCCAAAATAGAGAATATACTTAGTGTGGGTTTGATTCTGTTTTAAATTAGAAATTAAACATTTGTGTTAGAGTTATGCTGGATCAAGGTCATAGGGAAAATAGGTTATAATTTGAAAATGTGAAGCATATGGAAACTTTTAGAGCTGAAAGATTGTATTTTCTGTGAAGATGTTAACCACTCAAATTAAAGTCAGTGGGCCAGAAACGTCAGACTAAGAGCTAAAGCTGTACTGCACTCAAATCAGAGAAGTCTAAAGAAAGAATTCTAAAAACAACTATGGAAGAACCACAAATAGGACCAATAAATGTTTATGCCCATGCCACAACTCGGCCATTCATGAAGTTCCTGGTCAAAGCAAGTCCAAAGTGATTCTGTGCCCATTTGTCCTTCCTTTTGTCCACCCATTCATGTCTGTGTGTTATAACACACTTTACAATAGTACAATTTACAATTTAAGCTCCTACCTAAAACTACAGAAGTGCTTTTAGACTGACCTGTGGATGACTCTGTTTTGATTTGTCTGTAGAATGTTTTTTGTTTTCTTCTTGAAGCTGAAAAATAATTTTAAATTATTTCATGTTCAGAAGCCACAGTATTCTTAAATACAACGAAAGTCAGTTACAATTCCTGCTTTAGAGTAAGAAATGAGGCTGACTTTAATGGCAACAGAGCAAAATCAGGATCAAGTGCAATGTACTATAACTATACTAATCCCAGTAGTAAATTAGATGCTAAGGCCTCCTTTCATTGTATCAAAATTTGTATTAAATCAGAGACCATTGTACCAAAATTTGCATTTGGTCAGAGACCAAATGTCTTAAGATATTGGGAGCTTTTCCATGTCCTAATGTAGTAAATTGTTCATCTTTCAATTTTGTAAACATATCTTTTTTTTCAATTTATTCAACTCCAGCATGAATTTTAAACTGTTGCCTACTTAACATAGCTGTACTAATTAAATCTCTAACTTTCAGTAACCAAGAGGGTCAGGTAATTTTGAAATACTTATTAATTAGATTCAAGCCAAGTATATATTCTAACATGAAAACCACTATAATTTCTTTAGGCTCTCTGCCTTATGTCCCTTACAGAATTAAGTCAAATGCATTTTCTTGCCAAGAGACAAGAACATGGTCAGCAAGTACATCACAAAATAAATCCATCAATGAACATAGATGCAATTTTGGTGGGGACAGGAAGACAATATGGCTGCAACAATGTCCCATTCTATGACATGTGACTGTCTGCTACTTGTGGGAGCTAAAGCCTCTTGAATCAACTTGATAAAGCCATGCCTGCATGAAAATTCAGTATCTTGCCTTTAAATAGTCTTCTTCTACAGGATACTCATAAACTGGAGAGGATCCTTGTGGCCTTGGACGTATGTCTTCTACTGCCACTTCATTAACCTGTGGAAAAGACATGAGCAGTGGTAAAGGAACAACCACAATTAAACAGTGACTCATTTTTAGGAGTGTTTCTCTAGTTATCCATAGTGTCCTTCTGAGTAAAAATCTTTCATTAGTGATGGTGGATAAAAAATAACCAGTAACTCTTTTTTCAGGTCAAGAAGAAATACAGTTCTCATGTTAAAGCATTCAAAACCACAAGGGACAGAGTTCTGAGAGACAAAAAACAGTGGTAAGCTTATTTTCTTTATGTATTGTATGTATCTACAGACTGAATAGACTGAAAACAGACAGATCAATAAGTAATAATTGAAAAAGTAAAAAAAAAATCCCTTCCCTGCTCTATTTGCACACCTAAACTTCGCATCCAATAGCTTCAAACATTATTGCCGTCTATAGGCAAACAAACCATGGAAAAGTCCCAGTAGGAATTTCTGCTGACAAGCACTTGGCTTTTTTCCTTCTCTAGTCAGACAATAGGGAACCTAAATTGTCTAAATCCTTAAAGAAAAGTTACTGTAGCTAACAGCCATGCAATAGTTTGCTAAGTCTTGGTAGTAAACTTATGCCAGTGAACCATAGCAAAGAGCAGATGCCTTTACACTGAAACATCTTTCTGGTTTTTGAGCTGGCAGGACAATCCCAAGCTAAAATACATTTTTAATGGGGAGGAAAATCACCAGCAAGACCCAGCTATAAACAAAATATTTAAGATCCCATTTTGCCAAACTGTCATCACAGAAAAATTCAACTCTAAAAAACTCACAGAATCTTCATCCTCTGCATCTGCAACAGCATCAGCATCTCCTGGGGGCTCAGGCGGTCTCAGCTGTCGTCCAGAACCTGAAAGCAGCACACAGGCTGTTGGTGCCTGCACGATCCACACAGAGCACAGAGCAGTCAGCTAGCAAGCTGAAACCCTCTGGAGCAGCATGGCAAGGGATGTGCACAGTAAAGGCCACTGGAAAGGCCTACCTTAATTTAGATTCCTACCATCACAGAATAGTTTGGGTTGGAAGGGACCTTAAAGATCACCTAGTTCTTCCTACTAGCCATGGGCAGGGGTTATAATCTGGCTTACTTCTAGTTCCACATTTTCTCCAATCTGGGGATTTTTCTCCTTCACAAAAGCCTTTAAGATTTGGATATTTCTATATCTTTGGAAGGAGAAAAGCAGTGACCATCTGCTGACCCTTGTCTCCTGCACCAGCCTCTACATTTCCAAAGGGACTGAGTGTAGCCCACAATGAAGGCTTGGAGGGGTTGGAGACCAGAAAAAGGGAAGGAGAGGTGTACAGAGGGAATCTGAAGTGTTTTTTCCCTAAGTTGTTTTATTCTTTAAAATATCAGAATCAGTAAATAACAGTTTGTTAATTCACAATAAATTAAATTGATTGAAATTCCCCATATTGAAACTCTTCCTTGCTTCTGACAAAGGTCTTAAGAACAGGAGAGTGAACATCATGAACCCTGACAGTCATAAAGAGTCTGCTTTCTTAGTTTTTAAAAGTATTGAGGGTGGACAGAGACGAGGTGAAGGAGATGGGCTGTCTGAAAGTATGATTCTCTTGAAATGCTTTAAATTGGGCACCAAAGAATACAAACAGCATGAATTAGAACATGTTTTCAGAGATCCAGGCTTAGCCAGTAGAGGACAGTGTGGCTGAACTACATATTCCCTAATGCACCAGCTATTCACACACGTGCCCAAGTCCTTGTCCCAATAACTATGTCTCTTTCCTGTCTCCAGGCTTGTTTTTTCCAAGCCATCAGGCTGTCTAGCTCCCCAACACTCAGTTCTGAAACTGCCATTACTATACATAGTTTTGGCTCTCCTAAACAGATCCTCTGGCTTAAAAATATGCTCAAAAACTTGAGAAAACAACTGACAAGAAGAACTGTGCAACTCATTGTCTGTTTTAAATGGAGAATCCTTGGGCTGGAACACAAGATTTCTGGACATTACACACTGTGTGTGCAGACAAGATGGCACAACTTAGTCATGTCTGCAATCTCTGACTTACACATGTTGCCAAGCCCTTGTTAAAGCGGCTGGGATTTTGTTGATCACTCCTCACAATTTTCTGATCTCCTAAGTTCACTTTTTCCTTGATTTTTTGAAGATAAAATTATATAGTACAGGTAAAGTTTTGAAAGAGTTATGCCCCAGTGATCAGTGATGGACCACTTTGTTAAGATGAATGGAAATAATGTGCTTCCAGTGGCAATATCCCACAACAGTCTGTGGGTCAAGCTTACAAACTTGATAAAATAGAAGGCAATCCACATTAGCCATATGTACAGCATCATAATCAGCTCTCCTGCAGTATTCCAGCTCCAGAGAATTAGGATCAACTCAGATCACATCAAGGCTACCAGACCATTCCTCCTTTAGCCCTCACAGCACTTGTCCTGACACCTACAATGGACAATTCCAGTAAATTCTAGAAAATTGTCTTAATGCACATTTTAACTCAGATTAAAGATCTGCTTGAAATTTAGCTTTTTTTTTTTTCAAAAGCTCATTTGCAAAAGCATCTGCAGTTTTCAGAAGCTCAAGAAAACTGAAAAATTCGTATAACCTTGCTAAATAATTTAGACATGGATTTCTGAACCTAATTTTAAGCATTTCTGCTTGAAAATTCTGGAATCCATTCATGAAGCACTTCACCAAATGTATTTTAATAAGCATCATATGAGGAGAAGAGCTGCAGGATTGATGCTTGATTGTTTAATTTGCCTAGTGCTTCTAGAGATTCAAGTGCCAGCAATAAATTTTATGGCTGTTACTAAAATTCCAAGAAATAGTAAGGACTTAGTCTTATGGCATTGCCATATTTTTCACTTGGGAGAATCCCACCCACAAGCCCTGCAGTCCAGCAGAATGACTTAACAGAAAATTGCTTGGATTGCTGGAGTGTTTGCTCTTCAGTGCAGCATTTCAACGTTAACTACGGCATTGATCCCTGGTGGCTGCCAATAATTTTGCTACTGGAAAACAAAGAGGAAAGAATCATCTGCAAGACTTCTCAGGCTGGTTCACTGCAGTTTCTCTTGTTTTTCTCTGATGTAACTTCAGTGACACTTTAGTTGTCTGGAACTGAAGCAATGCAAGTACTAAATACTCTCCTAAACTGTGATAGCAGTGCCTTTTCCTTAAAAAAAATCAACCAACAGATTACTGTCCCCAGGGCTAACAGAGACATGGGTGAGACTGCATGGAGGGGCAGCAGGAACACAGGTGACCTTCCTTCCCCCTAAGCTTCACATTGAGGCTTTTACATCCACCCTGATTTCCCCAAACTCTGCCTAGCTGCCCCTCTGTGATAGTTAATCCATGTCATTGTTATGCCCTTGATTCCTACTGTAGACTAAGATTTGCTTCTGAATATTTCCTGATTCAGAATACTTTCAAACAAAATCTATAAAAGAGAGACATTACAGTACATTTTCCGCAAAGCCTTCTTTCTGAGTAGAAAAGCCTGTGCCAAAAACCTATGATTTATATGCATGTCATTCTCATGCCCTGAAGAGTAGCAATGCCAACATTTTATAGATTTTAACTTTTTTTTATGGACCCTGGACAATCAATGCTTTGTTCAAAATGTTTTCATAAACAAGATGGAATTTACATCAGTGACTACTTCTAATAGCCACTGGACTGACTTCAGAACAAGGGAATTTTTTGAAAGTTAGCAGTAGGAGTTATATAGTCTGGATCATTTTCATATCATATGACTGAAATGTGTATCTTCTCTTTGAAATGCAATTACTCAAAAATTATTTTATCTTTAGCCTAGCAACCCAGATGGACCGTTTGGGGAAAACCAGGAGGAAAAAATAAAAACAGGTTATTTTTTTAGTGTTAACATTCAGTGGGCAACAGTCTCCAAAATCACATTTGATACACTATATGAATTCCAAGTATGACAGTGTCATTGAATTTAAATCAAATGTGTTTTTATGTGTTGTATAAAGAGAAAATCTAGTTTTAATTGGAACACTGGCATATAAAATTTCTGTGATCTGTATACTTTAAAGTAAAATAAAATAGTACATGAAAATACCAGAGATATTAATAAAAGAAACAATAATATCTTTTGCTGATCATTCTAGCTTCTCTGCTTCCAGACTATAGCCGTTTCTCTGCAATTCTTTTTGGTTTTTAAAATTTTGTAATAAAGTTATATTTGCATATGAATAGTGAACTTAAGTAATCTGCTCTTATCTTTAGGCATATTACTTTTCCTTGCATCAACTTCAATGTTACTTCAACAAATAGTTTCTCTTAACAGACAGAAACCTGATCCATGATAAATATCTGTCCACAGGTGAAAAGTTTTATGCTCTGCTCACTCACTTATTGTTATTTAAAGTCACAACCTGTGCCTTTTCTTTATGTGGATTTTGGCATTTGCTAGTTACCATTTCTAAGCTGTGACAAGAAACTAACAGTCCTGTTTGTGCAGTGTTGTGGAAATAACTGAGTCCATAGCCAGTTAGAAAACTTGTGCCTTGACCTGCGGGCAAGGCTGGGACATCTTTAGATCAGGTCTTTTCTGACATTGCAAAGCATACTCTGGACACATAGCCTCATTTGTGCCATTAATAAGGAGAAAGAGGAATAAATAATTGCAAGACAAACAACAGCCATAATAATTTAATGTCATTGTCATTGTTGGCACTGTGTTTGACCCACTAAAGAATTCATACATGTAGGTCAGCAATTTTGATGGTGCTCCCTCATGGGCTTATGTCTTCTTGTAAACAAAGATGTGCATGGCTGCTGTCATGGACAGCTTCAGCTGGCTCCTGTACCAGACCTCTCCTCCTGCAGCCATCAGTCCCTGCAGCTGCAGGTCTGTCTGTCCCTCTGCCCTCAGTACCCAGTCATGGGGCTGTTATTCCTCATGCATAAATGGCTGGTAACTGCTAATGCGTTTCTCCAGAATGTCTTTTGTTTTTAAAACCACATCCCTCTCTCCAGATGGATGGTGTGCCTGACCTCCCCCCTCCCCTCACCAGCTTATTCTCCCTCTCTTGCAGGTATCACAATTTCTGGGATTCCTTTTCCTCCCTCAGAGCTCTCACCGCCGCCTGAGCAGCACTGCTGTGGAGTCCCCCAGCCCCTTCTGATTCACTTCTTAGAGTTGAAATAGGGAATACTTCGAATAGTTAGAATATTTTAAATCGTGGGTCCCAGCTCAGGAAAGCACTTGGTAACAGGAACACTATGCACATGCCTGACATTCATCTTGGCCTCTCAAGAGCACTTTTTCAGATAGGTGAGTTCACCTGACTTCCAAGCAAGCAATGCTGGAGGGAAGTGATCCTGCAAGCATCACCTGCAAAGATAAGAATCTGAAAGTGTCTGCAAATAAACCTTGTTATGCGTGTGCTGTGCTCCTGAAGGAAGCTGCCGTGAGGTTTAAACCATGGTTTAGAGCACAGGCTCTCGCACAGTCTCAAGACTTGAGTCTCAAGACTCGAGAAGGTTTGTGGCATTTCCAGTAAACAGCTCCAGTGATGCTGGGGAAAACCATCAGCAAAAAAGCGCAAGAGGTTCATCTTCTACAGAGATTTCCTAGTGCATTCCAGAGACCTGGATTCATTCCATTGTCCTGCAAGATCCCAGGGACTGAATTACGACAACTGCAGGGCAGGGCTGTGGGGCACGGCCGGAGCGCAGCAGGAATGCTGCGGCTGTCACTCCATCTGGGCAGGATGTGTGGCCATGGGGACATTCGGGCACTCTGTCACGGACACGCTGCCTCTCCCCCCCTCCATGGCAGGAATGTCATGTCACTTCACTTGAACCGCTGCCAGCGAGACAGCGGGGGCAC